CTTCTCATGTTTGCACATAAGTCCAAAAATCTCACCATATACAACCTTGCTTTCATTCACCACCCCCTTCTTCTTGAACATCCACCTACCCGAGAGACATCTTAGCAGTAACTGGCATGTCAGGACAAGCTGCCCATATTCAGAATACCACAACGACAGGCACTCCCAACATGAAACCACTATTACATGGACCATTATTTGAAGTCTATTTCAATCTTAAACACGCTTCTTTACTCTTACACATTCAATCCTATAGGAGCTTTCTTTTAAAGTCACCTCATCAAGAGACAGTCATCTTTCTTTCACCATTCTGATGGCTTCTACAATGAAGTCTTAAGCACTGAAGAAACCGAAGTCTTAAGCACTGAAGAAAATCTAAGCTAAAACCTGGACTGCACTCAAGAGCATTTCTAGCTCTTCAAACCATCTTTGTGCTATCCTTTTCTCAGCCTCTGACCCAAACTACTGTTATACCTTTCAACATAACAGATCCCATAAAAGTAACAAAGTTAATTCAAAAAAAAAAAAAAGTTAAATTTTAAAGTTAGTTTTCTTTCTCAGAAAACTAGAATAATATTCAGTCCAGGGATGACCTCAGAATTTTGGATCTGTGATGAAATAATAGCTAAGTACATTTAACTATTATGACTTGACTACAGAATTTGCTCCCTTACAAACAAACCACTGGAAATTCTTATTCTGTTGTAATAAGTGGTAAATATGAATGGTGCACTGTAGAATGTTTTAAAATGAAGAAGGAGAATTTTGTGTTCTTCTATAATTTTAAGTTTTTCTTTCCTTTATTTGGTATAGGGTCTCGCTACACAGCCTGGACTTGTAGTGATCTGTCTGTCTCAGCCTCCCCAGTTGAGGCGTGCACCACCACACCCGGTTTTGGTGGCTGACACAGTGTGCCAGTCCTGGAACACCATTCTACTTCTTGTGGTACTGGGGATCGAACCCAGGTCCCTGTGCCTGCCACGCAGGTGCTTAGACCACTAAGCTATCTCCTTAGCCCTAAATAATTATTTTATTCTAGTAATTTCCATTGATTTTAATTAAGGGTCTCCTAACTAAACTGACCATGAAATGAGTATTTCTAACTCTAAAAGATGAGCAAACCTACGACCACCTTTTTGGGAGGCTGAATGTTCTATTTTTAGTGTTTCTAACATTGCCCAATCATTATTAACATGCTCCCAATTCAAAGGCCTTCTTCCTACACTCCTTTTTCATTTACATTCGGTTACAAGGACTCATTTTTCTTAAAAAGATGAGGTCATGCTACGTTGCCAAAACTTGCCACGAGCTCCTGGGGTCAAATGACACTCCTGCCTCAGCTTCCCAAGTAGCTAGAACTACAGGTGTGTGCCACTATGCCTAGCTTAGAAGAAATACTAACTCTACACTCAAGAGTGTCAGACGTTTATTTTCTTCTTCCTACATGTCTAAGAGCTGGGATGCAAAGTGACCTTTTATCAGCAGGTATACCATTTTATAGTAGGCATACGCTAAACATTTTTTATGAAATTATACATTATATAGAAGTTGCTTATTACTTTTACTAATGTTATTACAAAATGAGCATTTTCCAGGTTAATTACATCTTGTGGGTACTCCTGAAACAAAAATGTACCTTATAAAAAACACTTCAATAAAAATGTGAGGCCAGGGAGATGGCTCAGTGAAATAAGCCTTTCCCTGGCAAGCGCAAGGGCCTGAGTTCAATCCCTGGTTCCACCAAAAAAAAAAAAAAAAAAAAAAAAGTGGCCATAACACATACTTGTCGCTCTAGATCCTGCATTCTTTTGGCATCTGAGGCTCTATCTTTTGAACGTAACTTCTGCTGAGTAGTGGGATTCCCAGATTCAGCTTTCAGTTTCTCAATCTGCCAAGAAATATAGACATTAAGAAGCATATTTAAAACACAGAAGAAAAGCCTCAGGGTAGAAGCCTGTTAGTTCACTGACTGATCTGTTAGTTTCTCAACAAACATCGACTGAGCTCTTCCCCAGCCTCAGGCAAGCCCAGGACCTCTACAGAGATTAGGAAGGCGAGGTGAAAAAGCAGGTTCCTGACCTCATGGTACGCTCTCATGGAGGGGATGGCTGAGAAGCTGAAGAATAAAGTACATCCATGGGTACATTCCATTACTTAGGAGTTAGTGTCACGATGAAACCAAGTGGTGAAAGAAAAGGAATAAGGAGGCAGTAAAGGCAGGATTCCCAGCTACGTCAGAGAACTGATTCAGGAAAGGTCTTTGGCTGAGACTCGAGCAATCTGAGCTGGTCAGCAAGATGCGAGCTATGGGAAGAACCAAGGTCAGAGTATTTCCCACCAAGGCGACAGCAGAATGGGCCTGGCAGGACAGGACAGAGGCGTGCTGGGGCGACCCGAGCAGAGGAACCCGAAAGTGCAGGGGTCTGGAGGAGGCCAAGACGGCAGGCAAGATTCAGACAACAGGCAGACTGGCAGGTTTTGACAGAGCTTGCAATATTTTAATTTGAAATAAAGTATCTCTGAATACCAACCAAAATCCAAGCCAGCTATGTGAGCCAAGAGACTTCAAAGAATTGGTACAACTACACAAGTTATGTAGAATTAATAAAGGGTGCATCTATAGAAATACATTCTGAAATGGCCTATTACCTCAAGTTTCAACTTCTCAATTTCTTCATTTGCTTCTTTAAGCCGAACTGCATCTTTATCCAGAAGTTCCTGATTTTCAGCATACCACTGTAATCTTTTTTGTAGGTTACTGATTTCTTGTTTATGTGTTTCTTCCAAAATTTTTATTTCATATAATTTTTCACCTGTATGATAAAGTAACTCACTAACTTGAATGTAATTTTTCAAGCCATAGAAATAAAATTAACACATTTTGAATAATGTCTATTTGATGAAGAAATAAAAGCCATAAAACAAATGATATGTAGTCAGTGTGTAATAGTTAAAATCAGAATTCTGAGTCAACCAAAAGTTGGCTTTCTAGAAATTTTTGATAAGTGTTATCCTACTGACATTCATTGTAAAACTGAAGTTGTTTCCATGGGAAAATAAATGAATTCAGAGATAGTAAAAGAATGCCTTCAATTACATTAAAAAAGAACAATGGCAAATATTCATGAGTTTTTTATTTACCACAATGAACTTACATTAAGTTTTAAAACTTGTTAAAAAGTTTCTTTTTAACAATTATCATTGTATTTCAGAGATGAGGAAACAAATGGCTTTTTGTTGTTTTGTTCCCAATAGGAACGCCGTTTTTTGTTCCTACCTACCCAACACTGATTACACTGCAGAGGAGAGGGCCCCAAGCTGGCCAGCAGCACTCGTCTGATCTTTCTGGCTCTGTGCCGTCATCTCAGCTGCAGCCTACAAGTGCGCTGGACAGTGTGTTGGGGGACACTCTCCATAGCTCCCTGACTCCTCTAATGTCAACTCTTACTGGCAAGGCCCAGTCTGGGTCTTCTCTGAATCTTTAGCATCTCCTCTCAGGTTTATTTGTGATTTTTAGAAAGTTTTCTGTATTCTTATCTCAATCCCTTGCTTTTGCTGGTGGTGACCACGCCACTTTTATCCTTATATTCTTACTACAATGCAGTGTAGTGTTAGTGCTCATTGAGCATATACTTACGAGCCTATGTTTCAGACCTAGGGATAAAGACCTGGCCCTAAAAAAGTTCAATCTAGTTAGAATGAGAAGGCAGAGAAGGCTATGAATTCAAAATAAGATGCAATTTTCTTTAATCTTGTGATCATTCCTATTAAACCAATATAGGCACACATCTTTTAAGATTACAATACACTTCAAGGAAGATAATTTTAATTACACCATCAAATCCAAGCTGACTACTTACTAGACGTTAGCATAATGGTAAAATTATACAAGGCACTCAATACAAGCCATAACACTCAAATAGTAGATAATGGCTCGGCTCAGGGCTTTACCTGTGGCATAAGCAATCTGCTCTTTGGCCTGGTCTCGCTCCTTCTTCATTTTTTCCAAGTCTACCTCGAGAGCTTGTTTGTCTTGCTTCAGTCTTTTGATGTCTTCCAACAAACTGCTCTTTTCTTTCTTAAATAGTTAAATAAATTCAAAGGCCAGTAACTTTCAAACAATAAACTCTAACATGGTCACTCAACTATTAAAAATACTGTTGTGAAATTTCTGTATTTTAGACCTGATTTTGTTACAACCATCTGCCCCTCTCTGAATCATTAGATGCTCTCCATAACCTATCAGAATGAGTCCACACACCTCAGCATCTATCCATACTGACACTAATTTTCTTGCCTAGCTTTCTGTAGTAACCTCCTTGTCTGCCTCCTTCATCCTTGGCCCCTACAGTCTACTTTCTTCCTGACAGCCAGAGGAATTGTCCCAGTCAGTTAGCATCACTTCTGTGTGAGACTCTCTGGTGGCTCCTCCAAAGTAAGCTGGGCCTTACCATGACCTTCAGTACCATGTAACTCATGGCTTCATCATGACTGACATCTACTATAAATGAAGAAGGGCTCATGCCTGTTTTAATTCAGTACTGTTTCAAGGGCTTTCTAAATAACCAAGAAATTCTTCACTTTGCAAGTATGCCTTTTACAAGCCTGAGACATACTCATGTATTTCTGTAACAAAGCTTATATTAAATACTTTTTAAACACTTCAGCAATCCAGATAAGATACTCTGAATAGAACACTTGCCCAGCAGTGGCATTTTTACCAATGAGCTGAAGCCCTTTGCCTCTGGTCTCCCAGATCAATGAACTCTGTATCCAAGTACCTTTCTTAGACTTTTCCCTTTGTGATTTTAAAAACTTCCTCTAGCCTCAGCCTCTTTGAATATGTACAACATTTACTAGCAGACATAATTTGCACTGTAATGCTCTGGAAATCCTAAATTTAATAATCAAATTTTATACAGTACTTTTTGGTGTTTTAATGAAAGATTCCAAATTTTCTATTTCTCATAAAAATAGAACTTTTAAAAGGTCACTAACTGCTTTTCAGGGGAGTTAATGCTATTCTTCAAACTATGTTCTTTCAAGCTTTCATAAAATATGGTAAAATATGTATAGCTCATTTTTGAGGTCCACTGATAAGGAGGGAGCTGTCTAACCATTCTTTCTACCCATCTGCCTACTTGTATGTCTACTTCTATAAATACATATTTACATGCATCTGAGCAAAGTTCATGTAATGGATTCATATGCGAAGCTGCATTTTATACACTATAAAAACCTCTCAAACATCAGCTATGAAACTATGATATAGGGTGGGGAGATAGTGCAGAGGCATAAGCGCCTGTCTGACAAACACAAGGTCCTGAGTTTGATCCCCATGAAAAAAAAAAAAAAAAAAAAAAA